TGTATATTGTTTCCACTTCCTGAAGAGTAGGCATAGAGCCCAGACTGAAGACATGAAATTTAGGATTGGAAGGACAGTAGAAGTAAGCGCAGCCTCCCACCCCCAGGGAGCAGGGTCGTCAGTCACAGAAGGACAGGCCTAAGTCAGCATGTGTCAGTTTCAGACAATCTGCTCAAACTCAAGTGAGAGGTTCTGAGAAAGCCCACCACGCAATTCAATTCTTTGTAAAAGCTATGCCATTAGAGATTAGAGAGCAGATTAAAAAAGGAAAGGAGTTATCAACTAACTAATGTGTGAATGATCATTAGATCAATTACTCAATAAAGCAAGTTTAAAGACGCAGTCTAAGGATATGAGGAAGAACTTGATATAAAAGTTCCATTATGGACATAGGACAATGGTACCACCTCAAGGCTTTTCACTAACAATAAGCCCTACTTTAGGGAACTACTTGAAGTCGGTGATAAGCTCCAGGTTTGTACCAGTTCCCATAGTTAGCAGCTTGTGAGTAGAAAGTTTACACTCAGGAATTTTGAATGGAAAAGCATCCAAGGTGTTCATACCACTCAAAATTAACACTGGATGAAGAAAAATAAAGACCATGGTTATATTATTTGTTAAATATCTGTGTGATAAGATCTTTAGATTAGAAAAGAAAAAACTGTAAGGAAGATATTCTCATTTTAATGTGTGGTTGCACTTTCATACAAAATGGGAATTGAATTCATGGAGAACATACTTCGGTGTTTCCAGCCCAAGAATTAATTTTAAAGGGCAAAGAAGGAAGCTTTGAATTTCAGAAATTAACTTCTCTGTCCTTTCCAATTATAAGGCTGTGGGACAGTCCAGAAGTAGTCAGTGAGCAGCTGGCTGACATTGCTGGGGCTTCTGCAGGTCTAGTACCTCTCAACTGTTTGCTTATTTAGAACCAAACCCCAGCTCTGTAAATTTCCTCTCCATGGATTTTCCATTGCTTTCTGGGCAATTACTCTGAGTGACAGCCTCCTTGTCTGGTTTGCTCAGCTCCTGAAACTAGAGCTAATTAACATAGTTAAAACTCCCCGAGCCTGCAGCCGTCTTTACAGGGCAATGGATTCCAAACCTGATGAGCTCCTTTATGAGTTCATACATAATTTTAACTCTCTTGGTAGCACATTTATTGCCCGCTGATAAATTTCAAAATGTAGACATATAAATACATCATCACTATTTTGCTATGGCTAAAGGTCAACAAGCAGATGCACACAGACCACACTGAGTGCTAGTAAATGACATTTTTTACTGTACATGGCTTTATCCCTTCTCTGAAAACAGACATCAACACACACAGAATACAAATGGATCTTGACGAACACCTTGGTTTGGGGAACTTGGATCTCTTTCCTTTAAAGTCAATAAATCAGATTTAATACTGCAGAAGAGTGTGTTTCTTGGGAATTTTGAGGGAGGAAAACAAATGGATCGACTTGAAAATTATGTCCTAAGGAAGTTTAAATCAAGAGATATTTAAAGTCACACTGGCATAAGTATGTGTTTAATCACCTACCTATCCAAGCTCCCAACTCTGGCGACTAGATACAGGAGACTCCCAACAGCAA